CTAGCCAAGTTTGCTCATGCTGGCTCCAAGGATGTGGGAGGTGTTCGCGGACAAACAACATGTTCAAGCTACTCTAGTTATCTGCGAACAACATACATAAGAGGCTCTTGAATAATGATCTTATATTATCAACGTCCAAAATACGTGATATATATAAATGATGGTTGTTTTGTCATGCCAATTAAAACAGAAGGTTACAGTATTTAGTTTGACTTTAAATGATTTATTGAACGAGCTGTGGTACTTTTTAGACAGACGGCACCACTTGTCTGTATAAATCACTAATACCATCGTAGACATAAGTATAATTAGATGGCGCTCAGTGATTTGTTAATTAACCTGAACGACGAATCTCCTTTAAGAAAATTCTTAGAGTGTATATAAACCAATAGATATTTAACAGTTTGGTATCGAACATTTGGTCGACCAGTGTGTGTCATTATTATTAGTTTGCTAAATGAAACAATTTTAAAATCTGGGTAGAGTCGAAGTATTGACGTCGGAAGTGCATAAATTCCTTTATACGAACGAGATACAGACATTATTCTACATGTTATTATTGTGTTATAAATTTACCTAATTCCTCTTGGAAACTTCAGCCTGCAGGTATGATTTAGGCTAGACGTAATGTATTAATACATAATGTTCTGTATGTACGCATGTCGGTTGTTTAAAGTGTCAAAGTTTTCGTCCACTACTCCAACATAACTTCTTTTAATTGTTAAGAGATCGAAACTAAAGTAAATTTACAATAGACAGTGTAACTGCTTACACTTACTCTTCTTACTTACTGGGTCTATTCCTACAAAAAGTGTCATTTTCTTACGCGTTATTGGGGCGATATGTAAGCCCTCGAGATTCGGTTTTCCCCCCACTTTCACGCAGTTTCTCTTTTTCAAGCGTCTCTTGTTGTATTTCGAAACAGTGGATAACTTTGGTGTTGACAGTAGAGGGTTAGTTTCTGTAGTTGGGGTACAAAGGTTGTGCTATCAAAAGTGTCACAAAGAAATATAATAAAACGTTGCGTAACATGTATGTCTAATAAAGGGATCCTATCTAAAGAGTTAGTTTTCCCCGTATCCTCGTGGTAACTATTGATTATATGACTAAATTACTTGTTTTTGGCACAAAACTGAGCAATGGCTATCTGCACTTTGTTCACCGCGGTGAATCCAACCCTGGATTTTTGCATTCAAAGTCCGTAAACTCACCACTGTCACAACGGGAGAAGTAGATTATTCAGAAATAAAACTTTTAATAATACTACAATGAGGGGGGAGGTTTTGCCTTTCGTTGGTAACTGGTAATGTAAGAGGCATGCCACGCGTCACCCTCGTGAGTTACGCTTAATTGTAGAGGCCATTTTTGTAATTGTTATTTTTTGTTGTTGTTATAGAGCTTTTTGGAATATGTTATTTATTACAATTTCAAATAGCCTAAAACTGAGTTAAATTGTAATTTAGATTTAGCAGTTAAATAAATGCCGATATATACCAAATTTATGATATTTGCCAACAATATTGATACACAGAGTTTTTTTTAATGCAAATATATTTTAATATGCAAACAATAATACAATTTACAACAACAGTTATTACAAACAATGATTTATTTACAAAAGTTTTACAAAGTTAC